GGTGAAAAATGACAACCCAAAACCTGTGTGAGGACAATGCGATAGAGAGTCCGGAGGAACATCATCACCTGAGACAGTGCAATGAGTGACGACGAAACCTTATTTTGAAAAACCGAGTTATTCACTCCAAGCATGCCAGGGATGGGCAGCAATTCACTTCTGCTTTACCCATGCAGTCCATGGTCCGAGACAGGCATGTTTATGAAGCAAAATATCTTGAGGTCATGCACCTACAAGCGATCTTGTGGAACACCCTATTTCAACAGTGAGCATGCAAAGCCATGGAAGATAAAGTGTGAGGCAACATGGCTGGACAGTGTGGAATTTTGAGTTAAGGAATACCTGGTCAGGTGCCACTTGCCACAGAGCAAGATTCATGGGATAAAGAAATAGAGAAAGCCCCTGAAAAGAAAGGAAAGTTTGAAGAACAGCCACAGGTATTAGAAGAAAGTCTGAAGAAGAGAAAACAGTGATATGATGGAGATGAACATACTGGGTGTGGTTCACATGCCAAACTGCAGAATCTCCTCCATTGAATGATGAAGATGAGAAGCAATGGAAAAAGTGAGGTGTCAGATCTGATGGGAGGACACCTGGAACAAATTCAGGGAGTAAGAAGGTAGGGAGGAATAGGCCAATCGAACCAAAGAAGGACCCAGTTGGTAAGGGTTAAAGGTGATAGAACCTCATGAGCAATTAGTGACTGAGCCCCATTGGTCCAGCAACTAATATCGTAGCCCGTTTGTGTCAGTCAGAGCCTCATATATCTCCATTTACCATTTCCCGTCCTACCCCTTCTCAGCCTTTACCCATCCCTTCTACTCAGGGTACTTCTTCTCGTTGCTTTCCTCAACAATGTACCCCATCGCCACCAGTACCAGTGATTACCCAGTGGGTTATGCTCCGGTGGTAGCTCGACTGTTCAAGTTTCTTCATTGCTGGGGTTACTTCAGTGGTTATCAATGGGTGCTTCAGGTTCTGTCAGAAGGATTAGTTGTCCAGTTTCTTTCCCCACCCCCCCATCTATCCTTACCCCGTTTCCTTACTCCTCCTCCTTGAGATCTCATGACCAGCCAGCATCTGTCAGAAGCAGTTCGGGAATTGCTCTTGCAGCGGGCCTTCAAACCTGTTCTCTATCCTTTCCAGGGTTTTTATGCACGCGTTTTCGTTGTTCCCAAGAAAACTGGGAATTGGCAGCCTGTAATTGATTTATCTCTCCTCATCCACTTCATTTCACTACCCCCAGTTCACCATGGAGTCTTTTCTACTTTGAGAGGGGCGTTTTCTTCAGGATTGTGGATGACTAAAATAGATGTCTATAATGCTTACCTACATATACCAGTATCACCTCAGTCTCGTCCTTATCTTCGGTTTGTCCATCTCAGGGTGGCTTATAAATTTTTGGGCCCTCCCCTTCGGACTTGCCTCGGTACCATACGTATTTTGCCGAGTAGTCCAAGCTTTTGCTTGATATCTCCATGCTCTGCAGCTGCAATTTCATTATTACATAGATGACTGGCTTCTTCTGGCTCATTCTGGACAGGAATCAGCCAATCATACTTGATAGCTTCTTTCTGTGGCAGTTTGGTTGGGCTGGTTGATCAAACTGGAGAAGTTCTTCCTTAGAACTACTCAATATCTTGTCTATTTGGGGGTCATTTTCAACACTCATACCAGTCAGGCCCAGCCTTCTCCTATAAGACTTTGTTCAATGGAACTATTGGTTCACCACGCACTCTCATATCTTAAGAATTTATGTTTTTGATACGGTCCTGGAAACTAGAGCCTCTGGTGAGGACTTCAATCGTCTTTTTTCACCTCCAGATTTTGCAGTTCCTTCCCATTCCCGACCCAATGAGTTTACTAGGCTTAATGCAGTCTTTATGGACTTTGTGTGTGTCAGGTTTGTGACCTTTTATCCCTTTCCCCTATTTCTTATGCACCTTGTCCTTCCATACTACATGAACAATCTTCCCAAACATTTTTGGTTTTTCCTCCCTCACCTGATATGCGGGATCATGCTAATCACTTTGCCTTGCAATTAAGCGAGGGGATTAGTTTGACAAGACCTCTGCAAACTTTAGATCAGTTTGCACTTTCCTACCATCTTGCTGACTATCCATTTTTAGACCAGCAGTTGTTAGGTTCTTTATTGCTTATTTGGGGGGGGTGGCTCCCGAATCATCTATCAGTTTTACCAATAGCCAATATTCTTGCTTGCATCTTACCCTTACAAATCTATTATGGTATCTTTTTTCCATTCACCTCCTACCTGAGGCTCTCCACAGAAATACTGAGGGTTTTCTGGAGATACTTTTTCCCCTCTCTTCTCCACTTCAGCCCGCGTGTCGTCTTCGGTTCTGGCGTTACATATGTGGTTTCTTTGTTGTTGGGACCTTATAGGTCGTGATATTGTATTGACTCAGGTCTATTTACCCTTGTCTCGTGAGCTTGCACAGGATCAGTCTATTCTGGAGGAGCATGGGCGATGTCCGAGGACAAAGATTGTCCCATGTAACTTTCGATCCACTGGCAGTTAAAAGCAAGTAAATCCACCATCAGGTTGCCCACATCTGAGGTCTGAGAAAAACTCTGGTCCCTGGTGCAACCCCCAAAGTGGTAACATTAACTTCGGAATTCAGCACAGGAAAGTTCAGCAAATTCGAGTGCAGAAAATAAGGTGACTAGAATTAACTGATGAATACGAATAGGAGAAACAGGATGAATGAAAGCAAATTAACTTGTAAAACAACCACTTCATGAGGAAACAAAGTCAAACGTGAAGCATTAAACAAACAAAAGAGCACATTTGAACACAAGTGCTGCCAAACCAGAAGTGACAGTTCGGTAGAAGAGTGTAGAGGGAGTCACATGCATCATGTGAGCATGTCATGCTTCTATTGGTGAGGACGTGACGCATGATGATTTGCATGAGAGACATGTTGGAAAATTACAATTCCAATAGGGGGGAGCAGAAGGCTTGTGGTATGCATAAAGAAAAAGTTCGCATATAAAGGGCAGCACCAAACGAGAATATCTAATCTTGTGATAGGAGGTAAGTACCGTATCCGAAGCTACTGTTTCTGTAAGGTTGTGTATACAATATACAAATGCTGATAAACAGTAGTTTTATTCAATGTTTCTTGCCCTAGTGACATTTTTTCACACCAATAGCATTATTATTATGTCTGCCTCAAATAAAATATAAGTGACAATCTTTCATCAAGCTGTAGATTGAGTTAAAAATGTGAGCTGATTAGGATTTGAAGTACAATTTTCATCAAAAGAACAATAAATTAACACTTAAATTCAAGTACGTTCACTTGAAAACTCACACTGAGATTACAGTATTAATAAGGTTATAATAAAAACTTATTTATTAGAAGAAATCCTAAAATGTAAAGATTCAATTAGTTTACTTGGAAATTTGAATATCTGAGTATTATAACTAAAGTCATTTTCTTGAGAAATTCAAATGACAATACACAAAGCACTAGAATACTAAACATTCTCTTTCTGTAAGTAAACTAATAAATACTAATGAAGATTGATTATCTCATAGTAATAATTGTAAAAAAAACTAAGTTTAATATATCAGCTATTATTACCTTATTTCTAAGTACAAAATATATATAACACACACAAACAAAATGAAATACCAAATAACTTATTTTAGCTCATTACTGAAACCCAAAATGTGTCAGAATGAGATTTATATTTTCTGAAAATATTCTTTGGATGCCCAGTTTCCCATAAATATATGTTTCTGGTCCTATAACTGTACATAAGAAGCTAACTGACAATAACAACTCCTCATAAAAATTTTTAGGCTTAACCCACATTAAAGTATTTATTATCTTAAACATAACCTAGTACATTATCCAACAAAAATAAAGTTTAGTACATATTTACCAAGCAGATCAAATTGCAATATGGCTCTGTTTAATATCACAAGGCAATATCTTCACTGAACAATCAACTCTTGTGAAGAATTAATAATCTAAAGCAACAGGGATAGCACACAGTTGGTTTGTTGAAGACTAGGGAGTTTTAATCTGAGGAGTCAACTGTCCTGTTTATTCAACACTTTGAGGCAACCCTATCAGCAGTATTGGCAGACATGTTACCTCTGGACAGTGTCTTTAATAATGTCAGTTTAAACTGATCACTTATATCACGTATTTTTTCACACTCAAGTTCACACTGGCTGTGTAGTTTATTGTCATTCCTGGAAATATGTTTCAATTCCAATCTATACTGACCATTTATATAAGCTATGTTTTCACAGGTTCACAGTGACTGTGTATTTTGTCATTACTGGAAATATTTTCCACTCCCAGAGTTTATACTGACCATTCATATCAGCTATATTTACACATTCAGGTTCACCTGGCTGTGTAGTATGTTGTCATCTCTGGAAATATTTTCACTTCCAGAGTATATACTGACCACTTATATATCAACTACATTTTCACACTCAGGTTCGCAGTGACTACATATGATGTTATTAGTATAAATATGTTCTATTCCGAGAGTTTATTAATGACCACTTATAGAAGCTAAAATTTCACTCTCACTTTTTCATTGATTGTGTATATTGTTATTAATGGGAATATGTTCCACTTTCAGCCTGTAATGACTACTTATATCAGCTAAGTTTTCACACTCAGGTTTGCACTGACTGCATATACTGTTATTACCGGAAACATGTTCCACATCAAAAATTTATACTGACCACTTAAACCAAATGTATAAAATTAACTTTTCATATTATCCTACTTTATTTACATTGTTATATTTGAATTTGGTCATTTCTTCCTCAAGTAGATTTCATACTTTCAATGTACAGAAGCATTCAACAACCAATTTCTCATAAATCTTGCAGCTGTACTTTAGCTATGACCTTTAAGCTTTCTAAGGTTCACAATTCACTTCAGGAGACTATCATGGATAATTAATATGTGCCTAAATATTTCTAACACAATCACCAAAGACTCACCAATAACATTGAAAATCCTACTGAAATAAAAGTAATGACATTTTAAATCTTAAGAAGTATAATTCCTCAGACATTCTGTGTCCTAAGAATCACAGTCTCTAAAGATTTATTGCTCCATGCTCATAGTACAATTGCTCACTGTCAGATGGCAGGGAAGTTTGAGAAGCATTCATCCTCCAGCTGCTATAGACGTGAAGCAGGTTTTTAAGTCTCAAAATGTTTGTACAAAGATGTAACATAAGTCATAATGGACTGCCAATCTGGTCTTTCAAGTGAGATTAGTTCATTAGTGTTCTGAAAGAAAAGTTAAAAATAATTACTAGCCTCTTTGTACAAACAACACATAAAAAAAGTAAAGAAATATTCTCAAACACAGATAAATATTTATTTCTATAATAAACACTAAAGTAAACAAAAACGAATATTTTTTTTTGCAAAAATGCTGAGATCAACACATGACTAATATATGTCTCAATAATAAAAGTTATTTCCATAAATACCTTTCAAACATTATTCAAAATGTATGAACGGAGTTCAGAAAAAAAAAACAGCCACAAGTTTTCTGTCCCACAAGCTGCATACTGGTGAGTTACAGGTGATGGCTGATTGTACTAATAGGATAATATGTGTCTGCCAACATCATGCATTATGTGCTCTTATGTAATCTAGCAAATGGCAACTAATACTGAGTGCTTGTTCTGAACAAAGTGTTGTAGTGAATGCAAGTAAAAATTTTAGTTTTACAGATTTTCTTAATCTCATATAATCCTGATCTAGCATCTTGTTAATTCCATCTTTTTACTCCTCACAAGGAGATCTAAAGGGACAATCTTCCAGAATTTACTGATGCTCTTAAAGCTCCTACAAGTAACTGCATTAGTAATACTAGAGTTGCATCTTACTAAACTGTTGGTTTTAATTCCATTTCTTCCTGAAAATCTTTTATCCAGTGTTTCAAAAGACGTTATTGTGATTGATTTAAACAACTTTATTGCTAGTACGCTACACCTTCATTTCTAAAGTCAAGTATTTAACTAAAATAACAACAGATTAAATTATACATCAATGAATCTGTGATTTTCTACAAATTCTCATCTTTGCAAGCAACATTATACTAATATCAAAACACATACAAACAAATATCTTTACTCAATTATGATGAAGAAAAGAAGTCACAATTATGAGAAATGATGAACAGGAATATTTCACACATTTTCCTTTAGAATGAGGGTCATTTCAGCCATCATAAATATAAACATTTTACCTGGTATGACTTACCTGACATCCACCTAGCTGGTCTGATGTTGTTACATTTTAACAACTTATTCTTTTTTTAAAAAACAAAAGTTAAAATGAGTACCATAAAATATTCATAAACTGAATAATAATTCTAATTTCTATTACACTTATAACAATCACAACTATTCAACAGATCTACAATGTTGGCAAATTAACTGTTACACTTATAATAATCACAACTATTCAACAGATCTACAGTGTTGGCAAATTAACTGTTACACTTATAATAATCACAACTGTTCAACAGATCTACAATGTTGGCAAATTAACTGTTACACTTATAATAATTACAACTGTTCAACATATCTACAATGTGGGCAAATTAACTGTTACACTTATAATAATTACAACTATTCAACAGATCTATAATGTTGGCAAATTAACTGTTACACTTATAATAATTACAACTATTCAACAGATC